CACACTTAACACTTATCTCTAACCACAGGCTGATACGGTTACTGGATTTGACTAACGGCTATCAATCAGCCCAACTGTAGACACTTGAGAAGATATCAGCCAGCAAAGCCTAGCAGGAAAATGTGAGCTAAACAGCAGCACTGTATGATTTATGTAGGGTCTGTCTACCCTGAATGACAATGTCACTGTCCTGAGACCTCTTACCTCTTTTTTTTTCTGCTTGATAATCCTCAGACTTACTCTGATTGTCCACCCTTCCTTCCCTTCATTAATGTGCATATGGCTTGTATCCAGAGTCAGTGGGAGTTTTGCCACTGATTTAGGATTGAGCTGAAAACACTGTTTGTCAACATGGACCAGTGCACACTTCTGCCTTTCCTTTATCTGTTAGTAGGGCTTCAATCAAGATGTCACTGTTATCCTGTCAGACTGGGAAAACAAAGGGTTAAATTAGTGGCCTGGGTTCATTCAGTCTTGATTATATGAATCCAAGAGTCCAGTAGAAATTCTGAAAAAAAATCTCTCTGATAGACTGGCCACTTGTCTGGGGAGGAAGAAAAATCCTGTTTCATTAGGTCTGGTTTGGAAAAACCATCAGCCTCCCACACATCCATATGCACATGAATGGCAGAGGAATAAAGGAGAAAAAGTGCAGAGTATAGAAATACTGAATGCTGACTGGATCTTTCCAAGGGATGAAACCTTCTCCCAGTACAGTTGCTCTGGTCTGTGGTGAACTTTTATGGCACTTGCACTTAAATCATTCTTGTAACAAAGCAAGATAATTTCCAAAAATGGCAAAAACTGATTCAGGCCAAAACTGTATCATACCTTGGTTCAAAGGTTGCAAATTGAGCTGCGGAGTTGTTTTTAAGTTTTCCTGCCACCAATACCTAACTGAGACCAAACAGATAAGTGAATACTTGCTAAATGTGTTTTTGTGCTCTTGGTCCAGTAGACACGCTGGTTTAAATTTCATTGTAAAACACAAGATAATATGATTTCAAACTTTGTGTTTGAAACTGGTTGCATGATAAAGATACCAGTTTTCTCTTAAACCTCATTTAAGGAGTCTGCCACTTTACAGGGAAACCCATAGTTATGAGCAGGATTTGTAGACATGTCTTTGCATGGCTAATTTTTACCTACGGTGCTGCACCATCTTAGTTTTTTTTATCCTCTCCCCTCAATATCCAATCAGAGACGTCTCCCTTTTCCTTATTTTCTCTTATCCTTTCAACTCTTGCTGTCTCCACTCCTTTTACCTTTTCTGATATTTACAGCTTTGAAAAGCATCTGATGGCCCTGTTCTCTCTCTGCTTCAGGATGGCATTTCAGAAATCTGCCCAAGTAGAATTGGGAGCCTAGAAAGATATGTTTTAGGCTAAGATCTGCAAAGAGAGGAAGAGCTGACTATGCAGAGAGATACAGGAAGACTGTAAATAAACTGAAATACACCAGCAGCTCCACATCTACAGTGCAGTGCCCACCAAGATAGGGGAGGAATCAGTGACCAGATATTCTCAAGCACAGGGATGCATCTGACAAAAGAACTAGCATGGGTCCGAAATGAGACCATATGGGAAAAAAGGACACTGGGGATGTTACTACTGACACATGTATCAAAGATTTAAAAAGGAACATGGGCTCCACTCATCCCACTCCTCTGTTACCAACACACATCAGGCGAAATCCTGGCCTCACTGAAGTAACTGCACAACTCACTTTGACTTCAGTGGGGCTAGGAGTTAATCCATAACGTGTGTACATAAGAAGTGATGGTAGGGGGAGCTCAGTGAAGAATGACTCATAGTACAGCACACAACTACTACCAATAAATGTCATGGCATAAAGACCAAGGGTGAAATCCTGCCCCATTAAAGTCAATGTGAGTTTTACCATTGAGTTCAATGCGGTCAGGATTTCACCCGAAGCATGTTACAGGTACACCTCTGTCCTCTCCTCCCTTCTGGGCCTGCGCTGAGTGCAGGTCAGCTAGGCTACAAACTCTTCAACCACCTTCTTCATCCTTCACTGAAACACTTGTTCTAGGGTAGCAATAAGCACTGTATTGATAAAGATGAGCTGCTATTAAGGTGCATGGTACTTTGTGGCTAGTGTTATGCTACATGATGCTTTATTGTTGACAACAGGCTTTAGAGAAACATATCCACTTCTGCAACCACAGCAAAATTTTGTATAATTTCAGCTGGAATGACGAAAAAAAGTTTTCTAACTGATGACAGGCTGTTACTCATATAACTTGCAATTTAGATCATCCGTGCCAGGCCTGGCACAAAGTTTTGTGTATATCCTTGAACTCGAGCCAATGGGGAAGTGCCTTGCAAAACACTGAAAACCTCTACTATTGATCTATGATTAAGGCTGATTCAGCAGAAAGTTATATTTCATTCACACAAATCTGAAATGAGACCTATACTCTGGCTAATCCAAGCATAATCAGTCTGTTGCAGCCTTTGGGCCATTGTAAGCACTGAGCCGGATTCTGATAGCCTTGCTTCTGGTTAGTATCCTTTTCCGAGAACAGTTCCAATGAAGTCAATGGGACAATTTGTGGAGTAGGATAGCCTTACTCATACTGAGTAGTATCTTATATCACAAATAGTTCCACTGACTTTTTTGAAATTATTCTGGGAATGAGACACCACTCAACATGAGTAAGGCAGGCTATCAGAATCTCAGCTGACATAAAGAGATCAGAACATCAGTTAGAAATGACAGAAGTTTAAAAATATTTTCAAGTGAAAGCAAAGGAGAATGGGGGAAGGAATGGAAAATAAGTCTCTGGTGATTTGGCAAAAAGAAAAGGATGGCTGGAATGCTGGACCAACAGGTAAACTTAAAAAAACAAAAACAACTCTCCTACTCCTACCCCCTCAATGCCAGATGAAAAGCAGATGGGTAGTGACCTAAGTTCACTGCTATTTTTCAGCAGAAGTAGCTGCTTCACTTATTGAATGTTTTGGAAATAATCCATGGGAGTTTGCAAAATTTTACAGTTTATTGCCACCATGTTCACAGTAGAATAGATTCTCTTTTGCAATTTATTAAGGATGTTAAAAAGACAACATATATCATACAAAGGTTATTGCAAAATTAACTCAATGCAACAATCCATAAAGAAGATATTCAATGCTATTCACTGCAGTTTAATGACAGTGAAGCCTTAAATTTTGCTTATGGCATATGTTGGGCTCCTGCATGTTCAAATATCTTAATCTGTAAATCATAATGTTACTAATTAAACAATGTAGCATATACACTTGGCAGATTCCTGACATACACAGTTTTTGACTGTCTCCCAGATTTAGGACTGAGAATGTCAAACTGACCCTGTCTTTGGCAGGGACAACAGAAGGCCTGGTTGTATCAAACTCTGCTTCAAATCAAATCTTATTTCTACTAAAAATCTGGCATTTTTTACCCTTAAGCCAATATTTGAATTTGCACAATTGTTCCTAATTCAATTGATCATGTTACATTTTTGGATTTGGAGAGTGAGTGCTGTGTTATAAAAAATGAAAATTCAATGTATAGGGTACAAGGCAATTTTACATGGTTTATACAAGACAATATTTCATCTAGGGCAGTGCTGTAAAATAGATGACAAAAAAGTTTTTTTGAGCAAATCAAAGTGTTCTCTCTTTGGTTGTTTGTCATGTTTTATGCTCATTGTCAATGCAAAAATGAAACTTTTTTTTATTCTGCAAGTGAAATCTTGAAAAGTCAGTTTCATTGTGAATCTTATATGGAATAAAACTTAGTATCTAAAAGTTTGCAATGGAGGACTTAACTGAAACTCCTAAAATCCACATTCTCCTTTTCTCTCATTTTCTGATCTCATTTATGAGTCACACACAGAGGGTGGAGTGTAGTAAATCTACTCTGGCCATTTGACTAGGCAATAAGCCCAAGAACAAATATTTTTCCATATGTTAACATTAATAAACAGTGAAATCCCAAAGTCCTTTTGCAAGGCTTCAACTAGCATTTTGAACTTCATATATCGCAAATCCATCTTTGTCAAGAAGTATTGCTATCGCATGGTTGTTTCTAGAGGCCCTTGTACTGTGGCTACACCTTTGTCATTTGTAAAAAACGGACTATTTGTTTTTAAGCTCAAAGGTGAGCCATTTTCCTTTAGATTTTCGTATTCATTTATTTAAAAGGTACATCATTTTATTTCACAGTAGCTGTTCCAAAATGGTGTATGAGGTTTCTGTAGGCACATCACCAATAGACTGTATGATAACACCATATAATTCTTGCAGTAGTTTCTGGTTTTCATCCAAAATGCATTACATGGGATAAGAAGATCAAGTAAGTATAATACGCCAAGAGAATACTGATAGTTAATCTAACAGAATCAGTCAAAAGTAAGTCTTATTTCTGACCACACTGAAATTTTACTACCTACATTACCCTAGACAGTGTCAAAACAGTTTATTCTTCAAAAACTCCTACCTCAGTCTGTTTCTAGAAATTGACATTACAGTGACTTTCCAGATCTCAAGTATGCCAAGAGATGACTACAAGCAAACATCTGGAACTCAAAAAGCGCAAACTCCAGAAGTAAGACGACCGTATTGAAGGCTATGTCTTTCCTTCCTCAAAACAAATTATTTCCAGAACCCCACAATATAGGCCTCTGTCAATAGATCCTTTTGCCCCTATTTATCTACATCTCAGCCATCTAGATTCAGGTGTTATGTTCTTGTTACAGTGTTCACATGTGCTTTTGTAAAAGAAATCAAGGTTTTAAAAAGGGCTGTGGGAGACTCACTCCTCAGGAAAAAAGAATCCAAGATGGAAGTCACAACCCTGAGTTTATATATAATTGGCTTTTGTAGTTCCAACTGTAAATAAAAATAAAACATGCTTCCAATCTTCTACTGCATACAGTGTTACAATATATAGTACTGTATATTTCTGCACAATTTTCACATTAAAAATAATGATGATAAAACAATATTTCTTACTTCCGACGGAACATTTCTGCAAATATGCAGCCAACACTCCAGAGATCAACTGGTGTTGCATAACTGGATTGAAGCAAAACTTCAGGAGCTCTGTACCACAGAGTGACAACCTGTAAAACAAAGAGGAACATATTAGGAGAAATATTCAATTGCAGAAATACCAGCTAGTGTGTGGGGTTGCCCAGTGACCCAGATTGCCTTAAGCTTGTACGGTCTCACACACTAAGGATGGTCAGGTTTGATCATTGCTTAAATGACACTCCTCTAAGGAAAATCCAGGTGCTGCTAGAAGTGGTGTGGAGGAGTCAATAGGTGGGATTATTCCTTCTGAATCGTGGTATTAGAAGGCACTGTACACTCATTTAAAAAGATGAGTCAAAAAACCTAGTCCCAACTCACTTATGGTCATTAAAGCTTCCATGGCATATTCTGCAGAAGGAGGGATATTAAGTGTGGTGTCTTGACCAACTTCCAACCTGATTAAATATATTCTGCTGACCTAAAATCTCTCCCTAAAATCTACTGATGTGGAGACAAATTGTAAATGGTCATATCTCTACTGAAGTCAGTCCTCCAGGCACTGTGTCTTATAGGTATTGCGATGTACTAGGGGCTGCGTGAGTAATGCAAATTGGGCCCACAAAGATAAACCAGACAGTTAATATTTATTACTTTGTTTCCCCACCATAGACCTAGATACAGGTGGCTCTGACTATACACATTAAAGACTAAGGCTCAATTATGAACCTTCCAGCATGCCTGCACCCTTACATCCCTGACTGAGTCACCACATGGCTGGGGCACAATTTCAGAATCACAGCTTGGTTCCACAGTTGCCAACTTTCACACAGTAAATAAGCACCCCGACTTTCACAATAAGCCAAAAATCAAGCTAATCCCACTTCAAAACAAGGCCAAAACAAGCCAATCCCTAAAAACCCCAACACTCTATGTGATCATGTAGTCTGGGACTGCGGGGGGCACGCTGTGCACCCTGACTCTCTCCCTCCCATTCCCGTTTGCCCCTTGATGATCAAAAAAAAGAAGCAACAAGCTACAAGCCAAACAAGCAACAAGCCAAAAACTAACCAACAAGCAACTCACAAGCCAATTAAGCCAAAAACAAGCCCAATTTCTGCGCTTTTTTCGTGGGTTCCTGCTTGGTTCCTATCCTATGCCTCGGTACAGTTACAATCCAGCCCTAAAGAAACAGGATCTTCAGCTGAAGGACAATACTGTATTGGCAGTATGCTGTAGTTATAAACTACAGACAATATTATAAAGAGGGAACTGGGTTCTCATAATTATTGCATTAATTTTGAGATACAAAAATACGTGCTGGAAAGTGCAGTGTTTCTCTAGGCTCATGAAACTGAAATTAAAAAAGATACAGAAAAAGAAATAATTTCAAAGTAAAAGACAGAAATAGATTTAAAATTCATGTTATTTAAAATGGTGAGTGCTGAATTTAAAGACCAGTACTCAGAAACATATGACAAAGGTGGGTTTTTTAAACAACAACAATATAATTGTCCTCTAAGCAGAAATAACAATGCAAGTAATCAGCTGAATTTTCTGGTCAGAACCAGCTGAAACAAAAGCAAATACAACATTTATTACAATCATTACATGCCCTGACAGCATCTGGAGGTGTTGAATGGATAGAGGAGGGAAGTTCAAGGATATTTACACAAGTGTCATATTTGCTAAGAGTTCTTTTACGTGCTTTGATCTCTATTCATAAAATTTATTTTTGAAACAGTTCAATAACTTTGTGCAAACTAAAGCTGAGCTGAGACAACTTTGACTTCAAGATACATGCCCATGTAAACTGGCACAGCAACAGAAGAAGGTATAATATAACCCCATTCATTTTCTCTGATTAGTTGGTACCAAATAGGGATGCTTTTCTAACATATGTACATGGGAAGGTAACTCTCCCTCAGAAGTTCATTCCAATGAAGGAGGAGAACTTTAATTTGAGGTCAGGATGCCGTTATGAACACCATTGATAAAGGCTGCCCAGGGAATATGCTGAATCAGGTGGAGTTCCTTTTTCAATATTTTGTTTAATGATATTAATATATTTCTCAATGTTTGGACTGCACATATATTCTCCTGCAGCCTTTGGGGAGAAACCAATGGGATAGGAAAAATTACTTTAAAAAATTTGGAGATTTCTAGGGTCATGAATTTCCACATATTTTTTTTTCAGATGTAGGGGCAGTCGCCTAACAGAAGCGGAGGAGAAGTGTGAACTGAAGATCTGTAGGAGAAACAGGACCAAATCTTGCAGATTCTGAACTTGAGATCCAAATGCCCCCCCCCCAAATGAAGGAAAATTATTTACCCTTCGTAACTGTCGTTCTTCAAGACGTGTGGTCCCTATCTGTAGTCCACTGTGGGTACACATGCGCTCCATGTGCATGACACCAGAGAATTCTAGCAAGTAGTGTCCATTGGGCCACACCTGCACCTTTGCTCTCCTTTTGCTCTGTGCTGAGAGTATAAGGGGTGGGGCTGACCCATGCCTCTCCAGTTCCCCCATTTACTGTGAATCAGAGAGGGTCTGAAGCAGAGAGGAAGGAGGGGGGGTAGTGGAATACAGATTGGGGTCACACATCTCAAAGAACTCCAGTTACAAAGGGTATGTAAGTTTCCTTTCTTCTTCGATTGCCGATCCCTATGTGTATTCTGCTGTGGGTCACTGACAAGCAGCACTCATAGAGGAGGAGGGTGTGAGGATGCAGGTGGTATGGTTGCTTGTAAAAACCACTATTCCAAAGAATACATCAATGGAGGAGACTTGGACCAAGGCACAATGCCTTGTGAATGTGGGGGTGGAACTTGTTGCTGCCTTGCTAATATCAAGCAGAGGTATTGCTGCTACTGAGGCTGTCTGTATTCTTGCAGAATGAGCCTATACTCCATGTGGGGGAGGAAGGTGTGCCAGCAGATAGGATACATCCAGAGATCCACTTGGAGATCCTCTGGGAGGAAACAGCTTGTTCTGCTTTGGCAAGAAACAGCCCAGGTGACTTACTGATCTATTTTGTTCTCTGTAGAATAAGATGCCAAAGCTTATCTCATGTGGCAGGAATGAAGTCTCTTCTCTATGCTGGAAGCATGGGGCTTTGGGAAGACCACAGCTAAGTGGCTAGTCTGGTTTATGTGAAATTCCAATACTACTTTAGGGGTGAATTTTGGATGCAGCTGTAGCAAAACCTTCTCTTTATGAACTACAGTGCAAGGAAGGTTCACCTACCAAGTCATCCGAGGTGATGGCAGTGAGGAAAGCAACCTTCATAGACAGGTGAAGCATCAAACAGGTAGGCTGGGCTTCAAAAGGTGGTGTGGATTTTTCACACCCCTGAGCGACATAGCTGTGTTGACCTAAATTTTAGTGTGAACCTGGTCTTAGATTCCTGGCATATCACTATAGCAGTCGGCATGGATCTTTAAGCAGTATTGGCAGCATCAACTGCAGTTTGTAATGAGGGTCTTGCCACTAAACTGCCCTCATCAATAAGAGCTCAAACTTGAGCCCTATCCTCCTTCTTCAGGTGCTGGGTCCTTATTTGTATTCCACTATTGATACACATGCGCTTTATCTGTCTGAGACTGGAGAATTCTAGCAAGTGGTGTCCATTGGTGTGCACCTGTACCCTGCTCTCCTCATGCTCCGTGCTGAGGGCATAAGGGGCAGTGCAGACTGACACATTTCCTGTTCCTTCTTATCACCGCATGGCCTGAGAAGAGGTCCAAATCCCCTCAGAAGAGGTCCAGGACTCCAACACAAGCTACTGGATAGCCCAGCGCCTCTAGCTGAGTAGCACTCCTAACCAATGAGGCCATACTGAAACCAGGAAGAACTGTGTGGCACACGTGCCCCTACTACTATGAGAGCAAAAAAGCAGTACTTTGTCCTGACAAAGGGAGCAGAGTTATTCTTCCATGCTGCCCCAAACTCCACAGTCATGCAAGCAGCCATGGAAAAGTCCAGACACCACCACCCAAAGGCCACCTGGCTGGTTCAGGAGGCGAAGAGTTTAGACCTTATGGAAGAAAGGTGTTTGCTGCCACCAGTCTCTAATTTAGAATTTCCAACTTCCGGGTCCTCTTGGCAAAATATGATTTTTTGTTTTATTTTAAGTTCCTGGACTTTTAAAGACAAGTTACCTCCGAACTGGGTGTTTCCCATTCCATTGGCTCCCTCAGTGTGACGGTGAACTGCTCTGGGGCAGGGTAAAGGATTGAGTGCTGGTCAGACCAGCACTAACCTCCGTGACAATTTACCCCAGAACTGCAGTTCCTTTCCCAGGGAAGCATGCCACATACAGCAGCTGCTCCCTTCCTGCTGGCCACACACCTCAATTTGTAGCAGAGAGCCAATGTGAATTGTACACTCAGAGGGGACGCTGCTATTTACAGAGGACTGGGAAAGCATGCAGCATGGGAGCTGCTCCTTCCACATGACCACCGTCTGGCCCACTTCCCTGAAACTTTGCTCCCCTCTGTGCTGCACACACACACGAGTATGTGCGTATGTTTTTGTCCGTATATCTAGCTACCTAGAGAGAGGGGGCATCTGGTTCTTAATAATTTGGGAATTTAAACAATTAGACACTGTAAAAAAAGGCATGCAAGTTTATTTCTGACAAATATCTGATTGCTTCATACCGAGAGGGGAACTTGTTTGCCTTGAGCTGAGTTCTGATAAACTGATCTTTACCATCTACCTACAAAAGGGCCCGAGTCATATCAGGGTTTGTAATATGCAAGTTTGAATTTCAAGATGTGAATCTCAAAAGGATTGTTATTTATCAAATGTCAACTTGCACATAAGTAATAACCACAGATAACTCCTATCTTGCTAGGGATCCTCTTTTAAGAAATACAGTATGATGTAGTTTGGTTTTGACACAGAATTTCACTCACTCTTTCTCACCATAGAAACCAGGCAAATATTTGTGGACATTCCATTAACATTTACAGATAAGTAGAAATGAAAATTATTCTGAACACAGGATATGGTGAGCTGAACAACTAGCTCATCGCTTCCTCTTAACACTGCTCTCTGTCTTAGTGCTTAGGTAAGCCACATAATCAG